ACGAATACAAAATTTATGTGTTCCCAGATAAGCTCACGTGTAAGAGATCCACGGTTCACTCGCGATGTAAAGACATGCATTAACAGGAAGAAAAGGGCATATCGAAAAGCAAGTCAGTCAGATAAGCCCGATTACAGGCAAAATTTTAAAGAAATCTCGAAACAAACACAAAAAGAAAGTATTGAAGCAAAAAATACATATTTCAACTGCACTCTTTCAAACCTGTTAAAAAGAGATCCAAAAAGGTTTTCGAATGTAGTTAACCCCAAACATGATCGGTTGGTGCCATCTATGTTAGTGCTGACGATGACGTGCTAATATTAGATGAGTGTGCCGAGCAATTTAATATATACTTTGCCGGAGTGTACACAGATGAAGATCCTATTAATAGTTCCTTGACCCTTCCGCAACCAGCCATTACGTTTAGCTTTCCATCAATCATTATACCCTCCAACAGTGTAAAACGCGCTATTTACCACTTACCGTTCAAGACCAGCCCAGGCCAGGATGGCATCAGCGCTAAACTTTTAAAATTAACCAGTCACATCTCCGCAATAGTGCTTGCTTTATTATTCCAACAGACACTTGACTCTGGATGCGTACCAGAAGACTGAAAAATGGGTCATGTTCTTCCCATACCTAAGAGTGATGATAACACTGTCTTCAATTACTACAGTCCTATAATATTGACCTCAATTAGTTGCAAACTGCTAGAACACAAAATCTACATACACATAAAGGCGTATCTCTACCGAAATAATCTGCTCATAAATAATCAGCATGGTTTCCGTCTGAAACTCTCATTCCAAACACTGCTTTACAAGTTAGTAACTGACATTTACGCCTCACTGCACTCGTCCCTTATTTTTGACCTAAACTTTATTGACTTTTCAAAGGCCTTCGACCGCGTACCTCATAAACGACTAACACTAAAGATACGTAATCTCGTACTTCACTGCAAAACAACACGATGGCTTGAGGAATTTCTAAAAAATCATTCTCAGGTGGTTGAACTAAACGAATATATATCCGGTTCAACACATGTCAAGTCTGGTGTCACTCGAGGAACAGTAATAGGTCCGCTTTTATTGTTATTATATAATAATGACATAGCATTAAATATTAGTTCAACGATTCGCCTCTTCGCAGACGATTGCGTTATACACGGAAAAATAGCTGGTCCTAACGACGTTTTATCTCTACAATCTGACCTTCGTAAGCTAACACAATGGTGCAGCAGGTGGCAGATACAAATTAATGTAGAAAAGACTAAACACTTGGCATTCGGTTCTGTCTTGAGGGCACAATGTAATACATATGTACTAAATGATAAAATAGTAGACTCAGTTACAACAATAAAATAACTCGGCGCCCTTATCTATTCAAGACTATCTTGCACTGACCACATAGAACACATTGATTGTAAAGCGGAGAAGAAACTAGGCTTTCTGAAACGACGTTTATATCTAGCCTACAGGACACCAGGCTTCAAGCATATAATTTCCTTGTGTGCCCTTCAGTGGAATATGCATCAATCATTTGGCATCCCCACCAGATCACACTTACTATTCTACTGGAAGCCGTTCAGAATAAAGCAGCTTGGTTAATCTTATCATCACACTCACGTTTTCAAAGCGTTTCATCTTTGAAAGCAGATCTGAATATGCCGTCACTTACTGTACGCAGGCAATTTCCCAGATTAACCTTTTTCCATACCTTGTATCACTCTAAAACATCTTTCGCCCGAACGCATATTTTACCGCCACCTCAACTTCTAGTCACACCGATCATTTTTTCAAAGTCAACCCTATTTTTGCCCGTACAGAAAAATTCAAACATTCGCTTTTACTTTTATCAATAAAGGAATTGAATATATTACCTTCCAGGACATCTACAATAACTGAGCCTTCTTCGTTTGATTCAGCATTACAACCTATTTGCAGCCCTGTTACTTTCATTCATAATTGCTTTATCTTATGTTTGCTCTTGTTGTTCTGTTTGCCTTGTCACTACGTTCTACGAATTGCTGTACTATATATATAACATTGTATTAACCTGCAATTATGCATTCTCTGTAAAAATTGTGTTCTGTTTATGTTCCCCCCCTTACCCCATGTAATGCCCCTAGTGGGCCTTCAGTGTACTTGAATAAATAAAATAAAAATATAAATATTTCACTGCAAAGCAAACGCCTTCTCTGCATCTTTGTTTTGTTTTGTATTGGCCGAGATTCAAAACTGCGTCGAATAATATATGACAAATTCTGATACCATCGCGAGGGGCACATGTGTCGTGTAGGGTCAGTGTATTTTTTGTTCAGCAATGTGAAGTAGAACAAAATGAGTCCGAGGATGATCGAGTGAAGCATGCGTGCATGAAAAACGCAAGTCAATAGAAACTATTTGCGAAATGTACCTTGAAGACAACCATTTTAGCTGCTACTTAGGCACGCGAACATTCTGAAGTGTGAAAAAAAACTGGTAGTCTATCATTGATGTCGACGCTCGTCGTCATCTTCTTATCCACTAAGGAGAAAATTTAGGAAAATTCTTCAACCAATTGCTAACGCTTAGATGCCAGTCACCTGCTCGTTTTCCCTCTTCCTTATACTTTTTGTCGAATATTGTGAAGTTATTACCGTTATTATAATACATGTACCACGAAGGTAGCGTGTGTTTAAATTCCTCGTTTTTGTACTTGAGATTTTCCTATTGTTCACGCTTGCGTTCGTGCTATATGAGCATATGTGTGCGCTTCCCAGCAAGTACCAGCTGAATCTCCTTTTGTCTTTTTTTTTTCAATAAGACTTGCTTTTTTCGACCGTTTCTTTTTTTTGTTGCCCATTTCAGTTACCCATCTGACACAAAGCACCGAATCCTCGGAGTAAACAGATCAGCTGGCTTCTAAAATCTCGTAAAGCCTTTCTCTCTCTCACCTACCTTTTGTTTACAGTTCGGCTGACCTTGCGTGTTATCATGTTGTTTCGTTTTTGGTGTCTTGTGTTGAATAAGTGGATGAACGAAGTTGCTCGAAAACTTGTTTCGTAAGTTATGGTTTCCGCAAAAACGAAAGCTTTAGCAAAACACCTGTCTGGATCTATGGATTTCGTGGTGTCGAAACATCCAATGCCCTTGCATTCTATGGGTCACAGGCCCGATGAAATTTGTGATCCGCTCAATAAACAGCGTTGTATATTCGCCGAGTTTCAAATAAGGGATTGGCCTTGTTTAGAGGAATTTCCCAGCTAACCACAAGTTTCTGTTCTGTGAATATTGAACTTTCAATTTTTCGGAACAAAAATGTCCCACCGGTACTGACGAGCGGATCAAGAGTTGGTCATAAAGAAGGTAAGACTATACCTAGAAAGTGGACTGCTTGACTCTGTGTCCTTTCAAACCAAAAAGCAAGAAATCGGAGAGTTTGCTGATCTAGCTGAAGGTAATTCACTCACCATGTAACACGAAAAAAAAAGTGTATTATGCGAATCGGGAGGGAGCAAGGACAACTGAACGACATGTCAACTGTTCCCACTTTTATGTCGTCATAAACAATAAGGCCTCTTCGCATTCCTTTCGCACATACAGGTCACTCTAATATTTCCTTTGAAATAATTTGCATTCCTATATTGCGCTTACATTTACGACGTTGGAGACATGGCATGTGTTGGGCGCGCCTATTTACGCCACCAAAACATTGGTTTCCACACATATTTTTGGCATATGAAACGAAAATTTCTAACACCTCAATTCAGACCTCTAGTGATTTTATTGCAGACTTCAAATCCTGCTGCAAAGCACACTTTTTGTTTCATCATTTTTGATGACAGCGCACGTTCTCCAAGCCCGTAGGCGTATAGGGTCAAGATTCAATATAATAATATTTACAACGCCTCTTATGTTATATGAGGGTAATTGAACTGTGCACATCTGTTCATATTCAGATTAAGATTTTTTATTTCCGCATTCGTATTGAAACAAATGTTACGACAGGAGCAAAAAGTCGCTATCATAGCAGCTTGACGAAGGCCCCTGCCCCTACAGACTTTGGCAGGAGACAACAAACCTTAACAAAAACTGCAATACATCGATATACATATTATCTTTCAAGTAAACAAAAAAACGAATGAAACACTAAAATGTGTGTGGCAAATTTACAACACAACAAAAAGTTTCATTTTTTTCTTACACAGAAGGCACTTTTTTTAGCGAACAGTTCACAACATTTACAAGAACAGTCATAGAAAATATGTATGATGGTGAAACCATACAAATTTTCAAGCACATAAAGAAATGTAGGAAGACTTTTACAAACACCACAAAAACAAAGGTATACCCTATCTAAGAAACACAAAAAAAGCAAGCACATATGTGGCAAAACATTACCCACATAAGCCGCACGGCTAAGAAAGTACTGCTTTAACATTCGACGCGAAGTAGTACTCAAATTATTGTTTTCCCCCTCTAGATCATTAATCAATAATGATGTACGGTACAGTAGCTGGTCTCTTCAATGATTGGTTCGCGAAAAGGGGACATCCCAGCTCATGTTGTGCACTATTATGTCTATCCATATTTCTACGTTTGGTGATGCGTTAGACCTTTAGAGCTTCGCAATCCTATATCCAGTAGGAGGCTCTAAGATATGTCCTTAAAAATTATTCAGGCATTAACTGTGCTATTGTGCTTCTAACAATATTATATACCTTCCTAAATATAAATTCGGTTTTCCTGTCGTGGCATTCAGTATATAACAGCTGTATGCTCCTAAAAACGAGTATCGCAATCTTGAAAAAAATTATATTTTTCTGATGCTTATGAAGAAATGTTTTGTGTGAAATGATTTCAAAAAAGAGAGTTGCTACGTCAGCAAAGCACAGAAACCATTGTTATGCTGAACACATTCATAAGACAACTACAAAGAGAAGCGCGGCAATCTCTCGCTGACACGGTATAAAAACAAATATAGAAATGGCACTGGCCAGTTTAACTTGAATACCCACCTTATAGCAGTCGAATGGTTGGAGAGTAAAAAAATTGGTATGAAGATACTGTTCACACTCGTTATCTTTGGAGCCTTCATAACTCGCCTAAAAAGTGCGCGTGGTGTTTCTTCGTTGCCTTCGGGGGTTGAAACTCCAGACATCACTCAGGCTAGTTTCCATTTTTTATAACTTGTCTCATTAGATTGTGCATACCATAAATTACTTACCGAAGCTAATGATTACACCCCATGCGGAGGTATTTCTTACGAAAATAACTCATCAGCCATGGGTAACCGAAAACATTTGTCCCTCTTTCATGCCTTAAGGAATATAACAAAATCGGAATTATGTTACAACTTTAGCTGAGTCCTTATCGACGCATATAAGATTCTTTGAATATGCACGTTCATACTCCCTTAATGTCGTCGTACCCTCTTCCACCGGTCGTGGAGCCGTGACTTTCAGAAGACAGTTCACATTTATTATTCTACGGAGTTATGTACGTGACAAACGATTATTCAGCAGAAAGTGTTACAGGTATTGTTCAATGTGATAAAAATGATATGAACAGTGTCAACGGACTATAAATATATATATATATATATATATATATGTATATATATATATATATATATATATATATATAATTTATTTATTTATTTATTTATTTATTTCCATATTTATTTATTTACATCAATGAGATTCAACAAAGAATGCCAACGAATGCATCGGGGCAAATATGAGAACCAATGCAAATAAAAAGAAAGCAAAGTGGGTGCAAAAAAATAACCTGCGATGAGCCGGAATCGAGCCCACAAGCTCCGAATAACGAGTTCGATGCTTTTAGGTATGCACGTCTCTCCCATATATATATATATATATATATATATATATATATATATATATATATATATATATATATTATGACGACTCGGTTGTAGCGAGGTTTATTGGCCGTGAACTCGGGAACGAACAAGCGCAACGGACCCGACAAAGAAGCGCTCGTGCCAAACAGATGATGATTGTCAGCCAGAACATATGATGATGATTGACTGCTGTTCAGATGAGGATGAAGCGCATAATAGATGCCTACACTGATTTCCCCCCCCCCCGTGGAAGCGGCCAGCCTGGCCGCTGCGGGCGGGTAGTCAAGGTGACGAGGAACGTCGTGTGAAAAGCTTCATGCGGGAAACGTGTACAATTTCGGTGCTGCGGTAACGGCGGTCAGTTGGCACGACAAGAGGCGTCACACGATAGTTGACAGGTGAAGTCTGCTCTAAAACAACATATGGGCCGATGAATCGAGGCTGGAACTTGTCACAGAGACCAGGTGTGCGAATTGGTGTCAATAGCAGCACCTCGTCACCCGGTCGGAATGATACCACACGATGAGAGGTGTCGTAGACGGCCTTCCTTGCTTGTTGCGTAGCTTCCGTGTTCATACGAGCGCGCTGGCGGCACTGGGCAAGGCGAGAAATATATTCTTCGCAAGAAGATGGTGATGTAGGGCCATTGCTGGTGAAGAAGGAAACATCGATAAAGAAAGTAGGTGAACGTCCGTAAACGAGATAAAACGGTGAGTAGCCTGTTGTGCGCTGAACAGCGGTGTTGTAGGCGAAAGTGAGGAACGGTAGAAGTTTATCCCAGTTTCTGTGATCCGGTTGAATGTATACGGCGATCATGTCGGCAAGGGTTCGATGTAATCTCTCGGTCAGACCATTTGTTTGAGGATGGTAACTAGACGCCATGTTGTGTGTGGTACCAGAAACGCGAAGAACTTCACCTAAAAGCTGTGATAAGAACACCTTTCCATGGTCACTCAGAAGTACACGAGGTGCACCATGACGTAGTATTATGGCCTGAAGGACGAAGTCAGCAACTTCCGATGCTTAACCAGTAGCTACTGAAGTTGTCTCGGCGTAGCGTGTCATATGGTCTAGGGCGGTGACTATCCATCTATTTCCAGCACCAGTAACAGGAAGGGGTCCATAAAGATCGACACCGACGACCTCGAAAGGTGTTGTAGGGCATGTCATTGGCTGTAACTGACCAGCTGGGGGAGATGTCGGAAGTTTGCGAAGTTGGCATGGAGAGCAGGAACCCGCGTACTTTGCCACGCTGGTAGAAATCCCAGGCCAATAAAAGCGGCTTCGAATGCGGTCGTAGGTTTTTTGAAAGCCTAGGTGGCCAGCAGTCAAATCGTCATGAAAGGCGTTAAGTACATTATGTTGAAGAGCGCGTGGCAGAACAGGTACCGAGCGTGTGCCGTCAGGATGATATATGTGACGATACAGCACACCGTCCTGAAACTTGAAGTGCTCGAGTTGTCGACGAAGGCGGGCATTGGGTGGACGCGTAGCTCCTGAAAGGTGGTCTATAATGCGCCGACAATAAGGGTCAGCCTGCTGGTGAGAACTGAAGGGTTGTTCATCGTCGATTGGCGGTTGGTACAGCGAGGCGAGCAAGGCAACAGAAGTGGGAGTCACGTCCGCACTGGTGTCGTTGGAGGTGGCAGCTGGAGTGTCGAACGACGCTGTAGGTAGTGGGCAACGAGAAAGAGCGTCGGCGTCTTGATGTTTTTTGCCCGATTTATAAATAATCTCAAACTGATACTCCTGTAGGCGTAAAATCCAACGACCCAAGCGTCCGGACAAGTTCTTCATTGTAGAAAGCCAGCATAAGGCGTGGTGGTCCGTTACGATGGTGAATTGACGGCCGTACAGATAAGGACGGAACTTTTGTATGGACCAAACCACAGCGAGGCACTCCTGCTCAGTGATGGTATAGTTTTTTTCGGTAGAAGTTAGCACTCGGCTAGCATATGCGATGACCCTTTCCCGCCCAGACTTATCGCGTTGGAGGAGAACAGCACCTATACCGCAGCCGCTGGCGTCGGTATGCAGGAGTGTTGGGGCGTTGTCATCAAAATGGCAGAGTACAGGCTCTGACGTCAAAGCTTTCTTCAATAGGTGAAACGCCGACTGACATTCCTCGGACCACACAAAGGGTGCATTAGATGCAAGTAGTTTGTGAAGTGGCGCAGCTATTGAAGCGAAATTTTGTATGAAGCGACGAAAATATGATGCGAGGCCATGAAAACTTCGCAAATCCTTAAGTCTTGTGGGGCATGGAAATCGAAGGACGGCAGCGATCTTTTCGGGGTCAGGGCGAATACCGTCCTTGCTGACGACATGACCGAGAACCTTGATGGATTTGGTGGCGAAACGGCACTTCTTAGTGTTGAGCTGCAGACCCGCACCGGCGAGGCATGTTAGGACGTCATCCAAGCGGCTCAGGTGCTGAGAAAACGTTGATGAAAAGATGATAATGTCATCAAGGTAGCAGAGACACGTCTTCCATTTCAGACCACGCAGGACGGTGTCGATCATGCGTTCAAACGTCGCGGGCGCATTGCAGAGCCCGAAAGGCATCACGTTAAATTCGTATAGGCCATCCGGGGTTGCAAATGCCGTTTTTTTTTTGTCGTCATCGTGCATGGGAATTTGCCAATATCCCGAACGCAAATCAAGGCTTGAAAAGTATTCGGCGCCTTGCAGTGAATCAAGGGCGTCGTCGATGCGTGGCATGGGGTATACGTCCTTGCGTGTGATGTTTTAAGTGCCCGGTAATCAACGCAAAAGCGCACGGAGCCATCTTTTTTCCGTACCAAAACAACAGGGGATGACCAAGGGCTAGTTGATGGACGAATTATTTCTCGTTGGAGCAAGTCAGCGACGTTTTCCTCGATGATTTTTCGCTCAGCGAGAGACACGCGGTACGGGCGGCGATGTACAATAGATGTTCCCTCCGTCTGAATGCGATGCGCTGCAGTGGTAGTTCGGCCCAACGTTGAGGAGCAGGTGTCGAAAGAATCGGCGTGTTTCGTTAATAACGCAAGCAACTGCTGCGCCTGCATAGCTGTTAAGTCATCACTGATAAGAGCTGTGAAGGGAGAGGATGAGGCAGGCTTACTCATAGAACGGTCGTTGGTAGAGGCAGGGTTAAGTGGCGTGACGCTGACAGGCTCAGCATCCACAACACAGGCTACTGCAGTGCCCTCTGGCAGGAGAACTTTCTCTGGCGTTTCATTCGCAGCAATGACGAGCGCGGAGCCATGGTGAAAGCGTACGACACCTGATGCAAGGGCTATGCCTTTTGCGAAGCAAGTCGACGAAGGGGACACCAAGACGTCACCGTGGTCGATGTCCTTAAAGATCAGGGTCACAATTCGTTCTTGGTGTGGCGGTAGTTCGAGATCTTCGCGAGCGAACAGGCGTAGAGGCTTGTAGACGCCTTCGTCGAACATGGAGTCCGTATTAGTTAGGTGCAGAATCCGTTCACCGCAACATATAGCGGCTGAAGAAGAAGATAGGAAGTCCCACCCTAGAATTAGCTGGTGAGAGCACCGGGTAAGCACAGTGAACTCGATGTAATGCAAAATGTCATCAATAAACACACGAGCAGTACAAAGAGCAAAAGGGCGGATAGCGTTCTCCTGGGCTTCGACTAGATTGGGTCCATTATAAGGTGTCATTACTTTCTTCAGGCGTTTGCACAAATCATACCTAAACACAGAAACTGTAGCACCGGTGTCCACCAAAGCGTCCACGAGAACTCCTTCCACCGTAACAGAAACCATGTTGAACGGGCGTGCTGGAGGAATATGAGTCCTACTGTTACATGCAGTTTCTCCTCCGAAAACTGCATCATTTAGTTTTCCGACCGGTTATCAGTAGTAAACGAGGCTGGCCGCAGAGGAGAGGAGGAGCGACGGAAGGGCGAAGGTAATCGGCGTCGGCTTGAACGGTAAGTGTTCCACGTCTCAGTCGACGCGGGCGGAGATGGAGACCGCTGCTGTCCAGATGAATAACGCCGAGCGTAAGAATCCCCTCTGGAAAAGTCCCGTTCGCGCATGTCGTACCCGCGACGCTCGTCCTGCTGGCGCTTGCGGCAGTAGCGCGATATATGGCCACGATATCCACAGTAAAAGCATGTTGGTTGAGAGGGGCGCCAAGGCGGGTAGTAGAGGGCGTTCGGCGCACCGGGAGATGGCGCACTCAAGTGGACTGACGGAGGGTCGGGTGGGATTGGCCGGAAGTGGACCGGTGTTGCAGCAGCAACCGGCGTGAATGATGGCAGCGGTGAAGTAGAGTTTACGTTGCGAGGAGGCGCGGCCGCAACTTGCGCGTACGTTGGAGGGCTAGACGGAGGTGGCTGGACGTAGGCTGGACCGGTGAATGATGTTAGTTCCTCCCTTACGATGTCACGGAGGGCCATGCTTGAAGGCTGTGTGACAGATGGAGAAGGTTGTGAGATGCCCATTGATTGAAGTTCTTCTCGTATGATCTCCCGTATCATGTCACGCAGGTCCCGGTCTGCGGTACGGTGTTCACTATTGCCCGACTGAAGGCGAACAGAATAGAGTTTGTCGAGACGCTGACACGTAGAGACGACGTCCGTGACAGTAGAAGGATTCTGGGCAGCAAGGGCATTGTAGGCAATGCTTCCGATGCCCTTCAGGATGTGGCGCAGTTTGTCCGACTCGGACATTGAAGAATTGACGCGCCGGCAAAGCGCAAGGACATCCTCGATATAAGATGTGTATGACTCGCCGGGATGTTGTTGGCGAGTATCTAGGGCCCTCCTCGCTAGAGCAGATCGAACGGCTGGCGTGCCGAATACTTGGCGAAGCTGCTGCTTGAAGGCAGGCCAGTCGGTGAGGTCGATCTCATGGTTCAAGAACCATGTCTTGGCAACGCCCGTGAGATGAAGCGATACTCGGCGGAGCTTGTTAGAGTCGTCCCAGTGATTAGTTGCGCTTACCCGCTCGTAGTTATCGAGCCAGTCCTCCACATCTTCGCCGCGGAGACCAGCGAAGATCGGAGGATCACGCTGGTGGTTTACGATGTAAAGAGGAGGGGCTTGCGGCGCAGTGACGGCTTGCGGCGCAGAGATGGGAGCAGAAAGGGCGTCCACCCACTCACTCTGAGACATGTTGGCGGACTGAGGGTCCAAGCGGCGGCCTGAACGGAGCTCCAGCGAGTAGGCGTTGTAAGTAGAGGTACTGGGAACGTCAATCCACCTCCACCACGTATGACGACTCGGTTGTAGCGAGGTTTATTGGCCGTGAACTCGGGAACGAACAAGCGCAACGGACCCGACAAAGAAGCGCTCGTGCCAAACAGATGATGATTGTCAGCCAGAAGATATGATGATGATTGACTGCTGTTCAGATGAGGATGAAGCGCATAATAGATGCCTACAATATATATATATATATATATATATATATATATATATATATATATATATATATATATATATATATATATATGCGCCTGTGAGAAGCAGTGGTTCAGGCGTTATATTTCGCTAAAATGGGCTATTGCCTTGAGTGCACCCATGTGAAACTGTGTCGCACAAAATATTTTACAAATTTTACTATCTCAAGGCGTTATTTTTTATGACTTCAAGGGTTTCTTCAATTTCGCTTTATTTTATTTTTTATCGCCTTGGTGAAGTGTTGCAATGTGCTGCATGTTTAGCGCACTTCATAAAAAGTACAGTGAATTTCGCTTCCATTGTACTGACATTTTCTGTTATATACCTTCCTATAGTAACTTATCCAAATATTTTTAGGGCAAACAAAGCACAAACAAAGCACAAACATTGCAAGAATATAGTGACGAATTCGGAATAATCAGTATTTTGAGACATATTGTGGCTTATTTTGACAACGTAGTGGTTGAAGTAAAAATGTGGCTTGTATATTGTTGCATAATCTAGTTTCCCGTAAGAGATGCAGAAAGTTTCAAAATAGTAGTTATTGTTTCAAAGGAGAAAAAAAAATGCGTCTGAACAACCATAGGGTGCACGAAGCTTTCCTTTTCGTTTTCACTGCATAGCACTTCACCGAAAGTTTTCAGCGAGGTCTTTACGGTAGCGAAAATAACGCATGTCATAGAACTGCCTGTCTCTTATTTAAGTAACACTGCTGTATAGAGCGTCAAAAAGGGACAATATTGCTAAATATATAAAACGGTATCTTCTACCTTGGACTTTGAAAGAGCAGCTTGTAGTCAACGACTTCACAGTCCCAAGGACCAAAAAAAATGCAGTCGATGGCCTGCAAGGCTGTGTGTTGTTTCCTATGTTCTGACTGCTGCAGAACCTCGGTTTCTTCCCATACCCTTAACACATTATTCGCACAAAAACGGCGCAAAAATTTGAGGACAAGAAAAATAAAAGGACACGGACAGCGGCACAGACTTGCAACAAAATTTATTTGCCCGAGTGCACAATATACATGAGCAGTATCTCACAAATACATGATGAATGACAGAACATAGAAACCTGAATTGACTGTAAACCACGTAATCATCTCTATAGCGCCATCAACATCACGTGTGCCAGTGTTCTCAGGAAAATTGTTTGCTTTCTGTTATGCGCAATTGAAGGTGTGCTGACACATACAATGCCCAGTCTTGCGATTTCTGTGGCTTCATATATTTCGCGTGTCATCTGATGCCGATGGCGCGCATTGACAGTACAATGCTGAAAATGAGGGGAACGGCCTCAGTCTCCGCAATGAATGCCGAGGTGGCCCGATACTGCGGAGACATTTTGAGCATCTCCTTCAGCCGTTCATTTCAACCTGTCTAACACCAATACAAATTCAACATGTTCACCCAAATCAATATATAATCTACATTTAACTACTTCTTCATGAATACAGTTTACTTTCGTGTTATACCCATCCTTATGACGCAGAAACCAAACGTATTTGTTTCTATAATCACCCAATCTACGTGCTAAACACTTGCTAGACAATCAATGGATTCTCTGACCGCCCACATCTTGAACGCTTGTTCATCCTGCTTAAATGTTCATACACCACTACTGCACCTTGATGGCACTCACAAAAGTCGTACCCAGCTCGTTTCGCATATTCGTGTATGAAACTTATCTCCATATTGCATTTCTCAGCAAAGATCTATCTAAAGCACAAACTTTGATTTTAGCAACCACACTGTACTACAAGCAATAATATTTTGCACGGTACGCGCTCAGCATTGAGAGCCACGACTTCGTGCGATAGGTGGTTGTTATACAGAAATCGTGCAAAATATGTGTTTTTGTGTTGTTGATTTTTAGGGTGCTTTGCACTTTGTAACCAATTAGACCTCGAAGAAAAAAACAGAACAAGTCAACATTATTCAACTCTCCGTTTGCTTATATTGGCAACAATTGTTTGCCGAATAAATATATCAGTCATTGACAACATGTCTATGCAATTTCTGACTGTGACCATATTATTAAGTAGGTCTGTGAAACAGCTGGCTTTTTCCAAGAAGCAAATAGTAGGGTAGAATATATATCAGCCATTTTGCATACACAGAGCACAATTAACTTGGAGAAACACCAACATGGTTTGTAACTTGATTACGAACAGAGCTTACAAATAATGGCAACCTCATTTTGGGGTAATTGTGCTATTATTGGTACCTGAAGTAGCTGTTATTTCTGTTCTAATTTCACACGTACAAGAAGGAATAAAAAGTCTATCAGAAAAATCATGAAAAAAAGAATACAATGCGCAACTTTTCTTCACAGTAGGACTTCCCCACGTGCGCCCGCCAAGAACAATGTCGGCAGCAAACTTAAAGAAAGGCAGATATTGCCGCACGATGACCAGATAGTAATACATTATCAGGCAAAAAAGTGTCTTCTTGTTGTTTTCTGTGAGACGTATTAAGACCGAAACTGCAGAAATGAGTTTTAGTCGACATATAATTCGCTATCGACGTACTGTACGTTTCGTGATACTGATGAACCATCTAACTTGAATAAAGTTGTATGTGATTACTTAAAGATGCCGCTTATTTTTTACAGTTTTACACACAAAATGAAACAATATGGACAATAAACACAACAATTCAATTTACTGAAATAATATGCAAAGTCGACCTGGTAAATAAAACGACTGCAAATTACGCGGACTTCACGAGAATGTACTTCTGGAAAGGAAACTTGTAAGTTTATGACACCAGTTCTTTAAAGAGAGTGACGTACTAATAAGGGAAACTCTTTCACAGGACCAGCAACTATTTGCGAGGAACGTTCACAACAATCCCCACTTTCACCAACAAATCAGTGTATAATGCGATGATGGTCGGCCCCCCAGGTAATGCGCTGGAGCAGACTGCTCTGCTGATTTACTGTTATTTCTCTCGATTGAAAGCATACATAGCAGTACTTTGAAAACATTTATCCATTTTTTGTTGTAAAAAGAAGAAAATGTGTCATTTGTTCGCTGGCTCCGTAGTTTCTGTTGGGCAGGAATCGTTTAGTGGTTAGGGATGTGAGTTATGGGAGTGTAAAAAATAAACATGCAATTTTCAATTGCTGCCGAGAGGGTGGTCGGGTAAAGTATGGTAAATGGACCTTTTTATTTTGTGATTTCAAAAAGAGCTGACGCTAGTGGTTTTTGCAGTGCGATAAAATACTCATGCACTGCGCAGATGCAATCATCTAGTTTCCGGTTGAGTAAGAGCTGTTAAACATAAACTTTTATTTATGATTAGTTAGTTTAACTGGGAAGACATACTGTTTTTTTTCTGAAAATAGTGCGCAGATAGATAATGTTCAAGGGGTCAGAAGAGCAGAAGGCTTTTAGATTGGCTGAGAGGCAAGTGATGGGGTGAATAATTACGTTAGCTTTGGGAGTGTCCACGCACATTTTACTCAGCCCTCATTATACTGAACGAGACATATCTAAATCAGCCCTAGCTCACTACACTATTGATTCATCATCTCAGACATCTGCCACATATACTACTCGAGTGACCCTTCGGAAAGTAAACTGGGCTGAAAAAGCCACTTCTTCCAATCTGACTCAGTCTATATTGTCCCGCTAGCCAAATACCTTTTTTTGGCCGTGAATTTTCACCCAGAAAATATTTTAGTTGGACAATACACATGGCTGTAAACACTTAAGCAAGAATCTTAGAACCTTTCACTGCTTATTGAAGGTGACAATAATGCTCATAGCCCTGCCTGAGACCCCTCAAATCTCGATAAACGCGGGATATATTTACGATGCTATTGAACTCTTGTGTAGAAATTTGTTAACACCCCCCGACACCCCTAGAAAAATAGCATAAAGTGCAGAGATGATACTCTAAATCTTACGTTCGTCAGCTACCTATTTGAACGGCACTGGACAGTCTACAGCCAGCCATGGGGCAGCGATCATCTCTCGATACTTCAGGTGCTTCATTAAAAACACCTCCGGTTCAAAACAACGAAATCACTGACTAACAGAAATACATTTGCCAGTAATATTACTGGATTCTTCTAACAGGTAATGTGTTTGGGACCTTTGTTCAATATGTCTGTTTGTTGGCAAGCGGAACAGTGCCATCGAGACGTCATACTCCACCAATGAATTCTATTTTATGTACTATATTGAGAACAGCAGAATATTAGTGAGAAGGTAAAATCGGCAATCTCACCTAAAGAAAATAACGTGCCAATTTAGGCTTATCGATTAATATATGCTCCGACTCCAAGGGAAAGAATGGCAACGCTACTGCTGGCGCCTTAGCCATCTTCCTGGCCCCAACGGTCTCTGGTGCAATTTTCACATTGACAGCGAAACGAAAGGGTAACCCTACTCTGGCCGAGATGTTCCTCAAAGCAGATTCTTTATTACTAGAAAACGGAGTTACTCCCACTTTCCTTCTTCACGCTACACTCACTCCACCTACATCTCCGAACGTCTGAATTGTACCACAACATGGCCCATTTATTCTGGGAAAAATGCTAGCAGCAATGAAACACGCGCGTCCTGGATCAGCGCTTGGACACTACCGAATCACATGGCGAGGATTCCGCAACGTCGGAGAATAAGCCCAAGACGCACTCCTTACGGTAATCAAAGATTTCTGGGCCAAGGAGATGTACCAGAAAACCTTAAGCTCTTCATTATTTCTTGAGTTCCAGAAAATTGAAAGCAGATGAGCCTCTGAAGAACCTCCAGCCGTTACCTGTAACGTCTACTCTCTGTAAGCTCGTGAAACGCATGATTCACAAATGCAGTTCCCGTTACTTCGAGATAACCCGACCGAGATACTATTCAGTCCGGGTGGGTTTCCAACTTATCGGGGGCACTCATGACCACCTTGAGCTGCTACAGCACGTAATTATTTGTACATCACAAAAGATGCTACCTGACTACTTCCTGGCAGTCTACATGCTGAAACCGTTTGATAATGTTTACCATTACACCTATATGGAAGAACTTGCCGTGCGCTACCCAACTCAGCGTGTGCAGATATAGATTAGAAATGTCCTTGCTGCCTGGCCCATTTGCTTAAGTGTTGAATTGCCTGGATGGAGTGCGCTAACTTATTACTTGGATAGAGGCATTACACAGGGATTTATTTTGGAACATCCGTTGTTTAATATAGCCATGAGCAAGGTAGCAGAAAAATAAATGGCAGCATATCCACGGCGTGAATGATGGAGAGTGGGGCAAAGCATTCGTCCGTCCTTGCGTCCGTCTATGTGACCGTTCATGCATCTGTTCGTGCGTCCATCCCTGCGTTCGTTCATGCATCCGCCCCTGCGTCCGTTCATGTGTCCATCCATGTATCTGTCTGTGTGTCTGTTCGTCCATCTATTCAACACTCCAAGTCCCACCATCTCGCATCTTTTTTCATATATTCCCCATATAGAAGCACCGCCATTCAGTGGACATTCCAAGGACTAAACGAGAAGTGGCACACGCACACTTTCTTACGGCTTGATCTTCCGGTCTACTTCCTACCTTCCACCACCTTGAGTTCATGGTATTCATAGCACTGCGGCCCAATGCTCGCTAAATCTTTCTAAAACCAAGGAGTTTACGCCCAGCGAGTATAACGTAGCAACTTTTTCCTGTCAGATAGTGCTCAATGTACATGCCAGTGGCTGCTAATGTCAAATGAGAGACAGGAGGATTCAGCTTCTAATTTCTTACGGCTTGCGCTTCGTATCTGCTTCCCCCCTTTAACCACCTCGAATTCATTCATGGTATATACTAGTTCACTGTATTCATGGCCTTGCGGCTCAACGCTCGCTAAACCTTTCTAAAACTAAAGAGGTTACACCCAGCGAGTATAATGTAGCAACCCTTTCTTGTCCGATAGTGCTCAATGTACATGCCAATGGTTGCTAATGGGGATCGCAGCGTGCGCGTTGACTAAAAGCCGAATGCTCCTGTCTGTCATTCCCCATTAGCAGCCATTGGCATGTACATTGAGCACTATTTTTATTGTTAAACAACGCACAGAAGAAATCTCTCACCGGCACCACCTTGGAGGTCAAATGTTATACCTATTTCGGGTATGTGCCACTGGTGGTTACGTACTACGAGGGATGCACAAGCCACGTCATAAGGAGCTTCCAGCGTTAGCTCAACTGCGAGATCAAGGCGGTTTTGCATTCCCCGACGTTTCTATCGTGGCTTCTACATTGTGCCTCCGCACTCTATTGCGAATACTAAGCAATGATGACATGCCCGCTCAGACACTGGCTCGCTACCATCTGGGGCAATCACTACGTGTCTTCTTGCCGGATAGCCAAATAAACAAAGGTCCCCAATCAACTGAATTACCATCTTTATATCGATCCCTTCTGGCATTTCGCCGACGTTTGGAAGCTACGTGCCCAGAGATAGAGGTGGCCGATTCTAAAGTGTTGGACACAATGGCTGCCCTTCTACGGCCCTTGGTGCCCCAGCATTTTCAATCTGTATTGAACGGCATCTCAGAGACTTTGTCTGGAGGTTGGGCTGGGGCTTGCTCCCCACGCGAGATCGGTTGCAGCGATTGCAGGTAGTTCGCACTTCCACTTGCCCCAACTGCGTCATAATAGAGACCAATCGACATGCGACGTTTGAATGTGTGGTTTCCCGTTTTTTTTTTTTTTTTGGCGTGCGGTTAATGCTGGTTTTCGGGGACAGGGTGTGCGAACTTTCGTGTCCAACGGCCGATTTCCGCGTAGCCGCTTCTGCGCTCTCTTAATAGTTGCGGGGCTGTTCAGCCTTTGGAGAAACCGATGTGAGGCCGTAGCTGCCAATTGCCGCCGGCGTGCCTTGTGGCCGATACTGGGGAGAATGAGACGAGAGATCCTCGCGTTCCTCTCCGAAGAGCTTTTCTTCCTCGGGGAGCAAGAGTTTCTGCGGCATTGGTCGTGCTCTTTCGTCAAGGTGGAACACGAAAGGATACAACTCATTTTCCGACCCACTTGGTGCTAAGCAGCGCCCGTTGAGTTGTTATATATGATTTCATTTGTTACAAATTGTGTTTCATTTGGATCTATTGTATCGTTATACCCTTGTATCGTGATATCACATTGAATTTTTGTGTACATGTATGCCAACATAATCATGTATATTTGAGCAAATGTCTTCACTGTAACGTAATAATGTTAGTCGTGAAATATAGATGGGCCGAAGTGTATGTGCCCTGTTACTGGAATGGTATGAAGCCTTTGTGTTCTGTACATGCTGTAAATAAACTTTTTCTAAACAAGGAGCTTCACCTCTAAAACTTGAACAGAACCAAATGGCGAGATTCGCCATCTATGCCAATGAGAACTATACGGGCAGAGGCAGTCTGTAACAATAACAAAAAACCGATACAGACCAGGTGTCAGACAGCCCTCCTCAGTTTGAAGTCTGCTCTAAAAAAACGGACGTCTGAGCTAGCTCCACCTAAGGCAGAACTTATAAGCATAGACGGCAAACATCCAACCAAACAGAAAATATTCATTTCGCTCTATATTGGAGCACACACAGTGCCATAAAAAACTCAAAAATAAACTTTTATGTTTACCATTAGCCACCTGCAACTGCCCACAAAAGTGGGTACATGAACTGCGGCAAGCGTGGCCAGACACGTTATATTTCATACGCTGTCGAGTCAACAAATGTGGAGGTGCACGACAACAAGCCTGTCGTACTCTTGCAAAAGATGCGGCCGCTGGAAAGATTTTGTACGTCGCACTCATATACACATTCTCTCCAACTGACAATCAAAAATTTGAACACCTTCATCTGGCTACCAATACCCTAAAATATCCGCAGTTGAAAGCACAGGGGGCTTACCTACTTTCCAGAACGTCATCCGTGAAGCACCC